AGAGCAATGAGTGCATATGCGGACCAGGGATCCCTCATACAGAGCAACTAGTGAGATCTACACTTGGGGATGTGATCATCAGGAATGAGAAAAAAAAATGAGAATGTCGAGAACATAGAAGAATGAGAACAAGTTATGTGCTTGGGAAAAAGACGATAGAAATGAAAAGCATCAAACTAGAGAAAACTGCAAGGACGCGCCGAAGATGATTGCAAGTGAACTGGAGAAAGCCATGATTAATGAGCTCAATATTGAACAAGCTAGATTGTGATGATCAAAAAGCTTGCGGGTGAGCATTCTCGAGTATGACTATGTTCTCAAGCAATTAGACAAAACATATGATCATGGCTTTAAAACAATGTCAGAAATCATAAAAAGATTACATCCTTGATTATAATGCTAATATAAACATGCCTATATAAAGATAAGACAATAGAGCAATAAAGAAAGTGTACTATGAATGTCCTATAGAATGAGGATATATAAAATAATATATATTTATAATAAATATTAAACATATTTGATAATATTAATATGATAATATAATAATTCTAATGACTGTAACAGCCCTCCAAACTCATGATGCTACAATAAGAAGTATCAATAGTCTGAGTGCAAAAACTTTTCCTAACCGATTGATGCTAGAATGAAATGTTACTAGAGAAATCGAGGACAACTGAGAGATTGATGTTGGGCTATCCATTGCCAAGATTGAAGGTTGACTAAAATGGCAGAGAAGATTTTCACAAGATACTCGAGGCATTTTTGGGACAGGAGATGAACTAGAGAGAGTGGCGCATGCTAGATCTTCAGATTTGAATGCGAGATTTGAGTGGTTATAAGACCTTTGAACAATAAAGCAACGAACCTAAGTGCTCATAGAACAGCCAACTAGAGAGTGCCCAAACAGATCAACAAGCGGATCAATAAACTACAGAGCCCTTGTGTAGAGCAATGAGTGTATATGCGAACCAGGGATCCCTCATACAGAGCAACTAGTGAGATCTACACTTGGGGATGTGATCATCAGGAATGAGAAAAAAAAATGAGAATGTCGAGAACATAGAAGAATGAGAACAAGTTATGTGCTTGGGAAAAAGACGATAGAAATGAAAAGCATCAAACTAGAGAAAACTGCAAGGACGAGCCGAAGATGATTGCAAGTGAACTGGAGAAAGCCATGATTAATGAGCTCAATATTGAACAAGCTATATTGTGATGATCAAAAAGTTTGCGGGTGCGAATTCTCTAGTATGACTATGTTCTCAAGCAATGAGACAAAACATAAGATCATGGCTTTAAAACAATGTCAGAAATCATAAAAAGATTACATCCTTACTTGATTAAAATGCTAATATAAACATGCCTATATAAAGATAAGACAATAGAGCAATAAAGAAAGTGTACTATGAATGCCCTATAGAATGAGGATATATAAAATAATATATATTTATAATAAATATTAAACATATGTTATAATATTAATATGATAATATATTAATTCTATTAACTCTAACATATATCATTCTCATATAAGGTGGTACTGGAAAACCTCACTCAAATTCCACCATTTCTTATATTACCTGCATGATTAGCCTTTAAAAGTAGGAATGCCTAGGCGGATGGATGGGTATGGTTCGGGTCTAAACTGAAGTTGACAAGCTTTGAATATGCTTGACCCAAACCCAACTCTTTTATTATACGAATCAAACTATTCGACCCAAACATGCTTTGACTTGAATCTGATTGGTCTAACTTGTTTGTTATATAGGTTTGTTGAACCTGAACTCGAACCCAAATAGTAATTATGTCAGTTTTGAATTGATTTTGGATTGTTTGAGTCAAACAAAGCCTATCTAGATTAATAATTGGGTCTATAATTTAGACCCGAACCCAATTCTAATATTAATCGTATCGACATAAGTTTGGATTTCTTCAGTTGGATTCGGGTCAGGTTGTCAGATCGGTACATTGATTGACTCCGCTACTTCAAAGTACTTTATGAGACACATACATCATGTATTTTGGGCAATAATCTTGGTATCCTATTTGGGATCAAATCTTGCATGATATGACAAAACCATTATTGCCTATGCTCCTTGGTGACTATCACTAGAATATATATATTTAAATGCATGTATGCATCATTTATGTACATGACACTCGTGGGCATGTACATCAACATGTTGTCTTTTATGCATGCATGGATTTATGTGTATTTGTGTCTGTGATTGCACGTCCACATTTACATATGTTTGTACTTTACTGGTGGTTGCATGGATGGATGGTTGCATGAATATGCATTTGGATTTAGGGATGTTAACTATCTAATTTTGATTATATAGTGGCTCAAGGTCAACTTAGAGCCATTTGATCTAATATCGAGCTGAGCTAGACCTGATTATGAGCTTGTTTGATCTTACTTTTGATTGATCTTGAACCTTCTCATTTCCAAAATATTATTCAATTTTCCATCAAATTTTTATCTTCCAAGATAAATTGTTAGTCCTATGAGCATTCATCCAGGCTTCTTCATATTAGCATATATAGATGCTTGAATGCTGATATTCATGAATAAAATATATATGATTATATCTAGAAATGTATTAATACATGCATACTTGTATTTTTCTGTCCATGTTGAACTAGCTTTATTCCTGACTTAATTCAAGTTTGATTCTAGCTGGTCCTTGATCATTAGTTGGTTTTTGTTTTTGATTTGAGCCTAAAATTGATATGATTTTCAGGCTATTTTTAGCAAATTAAGTACTTTTTGTTTATTTGCATTATTTATTTATATATTCTATGCACTATGTGCTTTTTTCATTGTTTAATGAGCGCATGTGTTTAACCAAAAATCATGTTCTATGCTGGTCACATCTGATCGACTGATTCGGCTATGCTTGAGCTCAGTTCAACCCATCACGATCTACTTCAACAGTAATCTAAGCAGGTGTATGGACTCATGATTTCTAGTCAGAAATATGGACTTGGCATAGTGCATGCATACCATAAGCAGGTGTATATTAGTTCATATAAAAGTTTACTTATACATCTAAACTTCATAAAAAAAAAAAAAAATTACATCTAAACTTCATAGTCTGCAACTTCTATTGAAGTTGGAACTGGCCTATTTTTCCATGTGCTTGTTCAAGCCTGACCCTATTAGGCAAGGCAGTTTGGGCTTTTTTTTTTTTGACCTGGAGTTCAATTCATGTCTGCCTTTTTATCTTGATCTGGGCTGGTCCGCCCATGCTGTTTTACTAGCTGGGCTACTGTTAAGGTGGGTCCAAGTGAAGCTATCTGGTATATGCTTATTCATTGGATAGTAGACAGTGCTTGGTGCACATGCAATATACTTCCTATGTATAAATACAATTCTCATTTAGATCACCTCCCAGAACTAACCATCACTGTTGATTAGTTTCAAGGCATATGCGTTAATTATGAATATTCTAGACATTGTCCTTTGCACAGTAGCACAGTTTGATTTCAATTATGTTTTTGTTTGCAATTCAAGCTTTTTCAACTTTCAATGTGGTTTTAATTATGAATTGGAGCATTTCATTTTAATGACTAATTAATTTTAAAGATAAAATCATGGCCGGGTACAATCTTACTGAACAGTATTCTACAATCATTGTGCGGTTATTCATCTTTATATCAACGCCACATTTATATCATGTTAAAACTAATTAATTTGTAGGATTAGTCTGTGAGAATGGTTTTACTCAGATTTGGTAAGAAACTAGCCTTTTATTTTCGTGGCTTTACCAATATTTCGAAATTTTTGGGTGATTTGTTTTGTATGGTGTAGGAAAAAATAGAGTCGAAAACCTTAATAATTTATGGGGATTGATTACAGCTTTTGGCTACTCCAGGGGAAGGGCAACAAGTACAAATTTAGCTAGAAAAAAGAGGGCTGACAATATATCAGCTATCAGCAAAAAATAAATCATAGAGTAGAAAATAATAAACCCTATTACCCTCTCACACAGCTTAATTGTTGGATCTAAAGTTTGAAATACTTAGTTTGATATGAAACCTGTTCTTGTAAACATTAATTGTGTTGGCCAGTTCAGAATTATTGCGTGTCTTTGACCTAGTATGGAAGCAACATCAAAGTCTTAAGATGATGTTATCTTAACTTAATGTCATTTGACATTACTTTTTCTTGACATCATGAACTTTCATATCTTGGGCATTATTACATTATATATGTCTGAGTCTATATATTCCATCATCCATGACACCAGCCACTAACATGAATGTTTACCACTTTTTTGACTCTCATAACTCTCTAATTTTATCAGCATACTTTGAATATTTTGAAATTCTTTTATCTCTTAAGCCCTTGAAAGAAACATCAGAAATTGTCAAACCTAAATGAGAAACTGAAAATTAAATTTCTTATACCACAAAAAATAATGCTCCAGTACAAAACTTGAAAGTGAAATAAACCATAGTTTAAAACCCTGTTCATTGGAAAAAAATGTCCATTAGCTCATGAGAAAAAAGCCTAATAGCTATTGCTTTGCTATGGTTACTCCTTATAGTATATAGCTAAAACAGGTTGAAACCTATCCAAGAGGGAGCTGCATGTCTTATGACTAGAATGAAAAATGGGCTGGCTGATGCCTCTTTTTATTTATATATTCACATAAAGAGAAAAGGCTGAATGTGAAAGCTAACATCTGACTGGTGATCACCCGCAAGCCTGAATAATCCTTCTCGATTCATAGTTGGCCAAGCCAAAGTTGAGTACATTGGCATTGCATATTACGCTTTGTTTGTCATGATAGTTCATGTTCAACAGTTTTTTACTTTTATACTAATTTCCTTCCTTGCTATGTTTTTTTTCCCGATTTAATTGCCTTAGCATTCAGCTAAATCACTCCTTGGCTTTCATTTTGAGTGCAGAGCACTATGGTTCTAAATATTGTTCTAATGGAACTCTATTTCCATTGTTTAATATTTTTGATGATAAAATATTTTGTGAAATTCTGAATGGTTATTGATGTTTCGTGGATTAGGTGCTCATTTAATATGCTATCCTGGGGCATTTAACATGACCACTGGTCCCCTTCATTGGGAATTGCTACAGAGGGCAAGGTAATTTGATTACCACAATAGAGGTTGATGCTACATTTTCATTTTTCTCACTGGTCTTTTTATGCACCAACATGCCATCTGAAGATAATGAGCTATGAGTGGTGTAATTTTTCGTTGATTAGTGATGTTTGTGTATGGCATTTAAGTGTGTAAGATTTCTAATGCATCTTAAGGTGTTATGTAAGATTAAAATGAAAAATTATCTATTTGGATGTTGCGAATTCATAGTTTTAACAAAATTTATTACTTCTAGTGCAAGGACTCCAATTATGTTTTATTTATTTCAATGGATAGTTTAACAATCGGCTAAAATTTGAAACTCTAGAAGAAAATAGCAACAAAAAGTAAATTTCAGCAATAAATCAAGTTCACATTTCAAAGAAAATCCGATATGTATCTCACATGACATAATTGCAATCACCCTAGAAAATCAATGACTTATCTCTCAAGAAAAGGTTTGAATAAGGATGAAAATAACAAACCCTAAACCCTAAAAGAGAAGAACCAAGCCTCAGGTCGATACAAAGATTCTTCCTTGTAAGTAGTTGTCAATAATTGTGGTTTACTCAAAGAATCATATCCAAGAATACACACAGGAGTAGCATTTGATGAAAATATATATAATCGACAACTAAGTGTTACTAAATAAGGAATGTAATGGGTCATGGATTCATATGCAAATAAGGAAAGAAATGAGCTAAGGATTCATGTGCTAATCAAGGAACGAGGAATGCTACATATTACTCCCTAGATGGAAAATTTTAGTGGCTGCAAGGGGCCACAGATGCTGACTAAGGAAAGAAGAGTGTCATTGATTGATCTTTAGATGAAAATTTTGAAGTCAACAAGGGGTGGATTGCTAGCATGCCCGAAGCAATAGTTTTTTTTTTTTAATATTATATTGTTGTAAATTAAATGCTTCTTAGAAATTGTATGGTTTCCAATTATTATTTAGGCACCCATTGAATGAATAAACAAATTACGTTTTCTGTATAGTATCAGACCCAGATTAGGGCTTCTTTCATTCTCCTCTTATCCATGCCCATAATTCTCGACTTCACCTCTAAAGAGTCAATTTTCATGAATGAAGGAAATCAGATTAATCCTATTAAAGGAGAATTCGAGGGGTTACAATCCTCTTTATCATTTGAACGAAATAAATTACCTAAAATATTTTCATATTGTGAAAGCCTAGTGGAAGGAAAAGAAAAACTCCACCACCTTGTTGGTCCTCCTCTGAATCCAAAAGACCCTATATTTACTTCCTGGGATGAGAAGATTCTGTGATCATGCCATGCTTATAGAACACCATCTTGTTAAAAATTAGTGGACTCTACATATTCCTTATAATTGCAAAGAAGTTTGGGAAACTGTCAAACAAACATACTCAAAGATTAAATATTTTGCTCTTATCTATGAGATTTAAGGTGAATCTCTCAACAAGTAAACAAGGTCTCCTTTTTGTCATTGAATATTTTAGTGCATTGAAGGTTTGTCGATTATAATTATTCTACCAAGATCTCAGGATGAAATGTTATTATGATGTTGTGGTTCTAAAACAATATGTAAACAGAGAAAAGTCTTTTGAGTTTGTTGCATGGCGCATTGTTAAATTTGATCAAATTTGTGTTCAAATCATGGGAAAAAAATCATACCATCTCTAAATGAGGTTTTTTTCTTATATGCTAGCTAAAAAAGGAAAAGGATGGTTTTGCTTGAAATGTCCATCTCTGAATGGAAACAACAAAAATTGATGGTAAATGATTTATTGCTATTGTATATTCTTTGAAGGACAGACAAAAATCTCACCCTAAAAGCAACTTATGGTGCAATTACTGCAAGAAAAGGGTGTATCAATTAAAAGGGCAAGCTCACTTAACGGAACCATAAGTGCTTAACTTTGAAGAAATCAATAAGCTAAGAAACTTTTCTAACTCCCTAAAAAAGCCATTTGGGCCATTCTCTCTAGTTCGAAATGATAAATTTTTTAATCCTTGTATTTTTAGTAGCTCAAATGGATCCCAACATCCTAGATAATAGATTCAAGAGTATCCTATAATATGAAAAACCATACCAACCTTCCAAACTTAAAAAACCTATCATAACAATAGAAAAATAAAATAGTTAATGGATCTTTAAATATTATGCTATATTCTTATTTCCCCTGCATTTATGCTAAAAAATATGCTACATGTTCCTAATCATGTTGTAAACCTTTTATCTGATCATAAAATTACCCATTATCACAATTGCAAGGTGATATTTTTTACTTATCATTGTGTATTTCAGGACCTAACTATGGGAAATATAATTTGATAAGCTAGAGAAAAGGATGTGCTATACGTACTTGAAGAAATAACCAATTATCCCGCTTCTTTAAATTTATTTTAAATAAAGACATTATTTAAGATCATCATTATAAGCTAGGACATTCATCTTTTAAAATCCTAAAATATATGTTTCCTTCTATTTCTAAATGTTAACATTAAAACTGTAATTGTGAGAATTGAAAATAAATTTTCATCATCTACCCCTTTTATAGTAATCCTTTATGAAATTTGGGGAATATAGAAATATTTAATATTTATGGAGCTAAACAATTTACGACATTAATTGATGATTTCAATTAGACGATGTGTTTATTTTATAAAATAAAAATATGATGTTCGTCAGATTCTTTCAAGTTTTATGTATATGATAAAAAATCAATTTGAAGTTAACATTATAAAAATAGGACATATAATGCCTGAGATTTTTTTAATCAATTTATTTTCTCGATAAGGAAGGTGTTATCCACTAATCTTCCTTCCTCGACACTAAAAAAAATTATTTGCAAACAAGAAAAATGGACATCTCCTATTGGTTACTAGGACTCTTCTCTATCATAATCAATTATCTAAAGGATATTGAGGAGAAGCTTCCTAATGTCCATAAATTTAATTAATAAAATACTCTCAAGTGTGATTGGTTTTAAAAGTTTTCTGAACTATCTTGTTGAATTTTTTTCCCACAAACTAATTTTTCAAAAAAAAAAAAAAAAGAATCATTCGAAAATATTTGGTACTATATTATGTTCACATCCATAAACAATAAGGGAGTAAGCTTGATCCTAGGTACTTAAGTGTGTTTTTCATCATTTATGTGTTTTTCTAGCATGCTTGAAATACCAATTTTAAAATTTTAAATTGTAGTAAATGCTTCTTAGAAATTGTGTAGTTTCATATTAATTTTTAGGCACCTTTGTATATAAATTGTCATTGGATGAATATACAAATTAAGTTTCCAAGCCTTATATATATATAGATTGTAGCCTGAATTTTGATATGGTTGCCTTGATAGATAGCGTGTTGGGGGCTTGAAACCTAATAGGTGCAGTGAGATTATCTTTTCTCACTTAACAAAAAAAAAAAAAAACACGAGTTAGCGCTCCTTTATGAGTACATATTTTCTGCATTTTCTTAAACTGTAAATATTATGCAATCTGGAATATTGCAGTCTAAATATCAGATTCTCTTGTCGAGATGTGAGAGTTTATGATATTGCCCTATTTTTCATTCCAGGGCTGCTGATAATCAGGTGTGTGAAGCCTCTCCCTCCAGCTCATATTTTAGTGAATATAATGTTGCATAATTTTTTGGCAAAACTTGGTAAGATTTTTCGTCTATATATATTATATCCAGTTCATTCATTTCCTCTTTCTTTGTTTATTTTGCCTTAATCACTAGATGCTATTTGGTTGGATGAAAAATGAATGCAGATTAAAATGAAATACAATTTAAAGGAAAGTTGTGTAGTTGAAATGTTTGAAGTTTGTTTCGATGAGTGTAAAATAAATGTAAATGATTACTTGTTTTTTTATTGTTTGGCTTAAAGTAAAGTGAATATAAGTGTAAAACCCAACGATAGTGGTGGTCAGTGGTCGGTGGCCTATGATTAGCAGCGACAGCTAGTAGCAAGGTGGGTGGAGGTTGGCAGCGCGGCGATGGATAGCAACAATGATAGAGGATCTACAATGTGTTTGGAAATCGGCAAATCTAATAACTTTCAAATACACTAAGGAGCTATTTAGTTTCTTGGAAAAAAAGAATGTTGTGTAAAATGAATGCAGTGTAAAAGAAATATTTTGAAGTTTTGAATTGAGTTTTCCCTGTTGAAGATATCTTCTGCACAGAATACCCTTAAAATGGTTGAAGCCTCGACTTCTTGCCATTTGTTTTAGCATCTACAATCTCTTACCAACCTGTTCTTGACATGATCCTTAACATTCCTGAGGCTTGTGCTTATACTTTTATGATTGCATGAGTATTTCAAGAGCTTGTTTATCTACTATCACAAGTTATTTTTACCTCAAGGATACTCGTACATTAAATGTAATCATATTCCTCCTTGAGGATTTAGCTTGTTTCTTGGCTATGCAGCCTCGTGTCTGCCCACTTAGCCCCTCTCTTAGCCTCTTAGAGGTTCTGGGTAGTTTGCTGAATTCAAAGTTTAAAATTTTTGTTTTTCTTCTGCCTATTTGCGTTATGGTGTATTGCTACATCCAAATGGATTCTAATTGCACTTGCTCAACCATACTTCAAGGTGAAGATATTGTTGACGATCATTCTTGAGGTCTTTTCTGAGGATAACATAGTGAAGTCAGCGGATTTGATTTTGAGATAGTTTATTTGTTGCTGTAAAATGTAGTTGCATTAGCAATGATCAGCAAGCGCCACTGATTGCGGGGTTCTTTTACCTCATTGGTTCTATCTTTTTTATAATTGCGGCCTCCTCTAAAGAGTTAAGCCAATCGAGGAATATGTAAAGTCATGTTAGGAACCACATAAAGTTACACATGACATTCTTACAATTGAATAATTTTCAAGAAAATATTATTCCCAGTTATGCCATGATTCTTTGTTTACTCCAGCGTAAGAATTTTTTTGGTATAATTTGCCCAACACCTGAAAATATAGATTATGTTTGTTGCTTAATGGAGTTATGTAACTACTGGTAATAACTTCCTGAAAACCAGCTTGTCAAATCTTCTCGTGATGTTAAATAGCCATGTTCTCTCATTATCAGTTGAAAAGCACTTAATGGGTGGTTTCTCATTTTGTTTGTGTCAGGATCTACGTCATTTTAGTTGAATAATTTGAGAATTCCTATATCATCTTAAATAATCTTATCATATCCATGTGGACCCCTTGGCATTTTTCCTTCGCAAACTGTTAGGGCTGTGGGCTTAAAAAAATTGAGCTTTTGGGGCCCCGGCCTCTTATTATATATTTGGCGAAAGTTTTAATTGATTATGTTTGGGGAGAAATTTTTGGAAGGCAGATCAGATAGAAATAAGACACTATACAGAGATTTTTCCCTCTTAACGAGGACTTTACGATCTGAGATCTGGCTTTCTATATGCTTAACTTCCTATAGTTAATCACCCCTTTCGATAACGAGAGAGCACTTTTGATTAAGTTTAGTTGTTAAATAGGTACTAAGTACCTGATGTATAATAGCAACATATTTATATATGTAAAATTAGAAATTCATTAACTTGCACTTAAAGTGGATGACGGGGAATGATGATGAACTCGATTAAGATCCCATGGTTCTGTCATCTCGGGGCATCATGGTCCCTAATATAGTTAGTTAGAGAAGATAGTTGACCCAATCTGACCGAACGATTCTTATTGGCAGCCATGAGTTGCTTTGTATAAGGGTACTTTATAGACTTGAGGTGAGTGTTTGTTTAAAGGATGAATTCAAGTCGACCTTAGCTTACAGAGGGTTTTGTGCCATATCGATTATATTCTATAATTCATTACTCAATGATAATAAGCCATTCAGGAATATACGTGCTTTTAACCATGAATTTAATACAATGGAGTTGATCAACGAAGCCACTAGTTCAGAGGATTGCGGTCATAATCATTTATCATGTGGAGCCTTCTTGACCAAACCACGAGTTCTTTGTGGAGTTGTCTGGCCAAGCCACTAATTAGAGCACCAAATATAATCATTTTCTGCATAGAGCTGTCTGACCAAGCTATGGGTATTATGGAGCCATTTAGCCAAGCCACTGATTAGAGGACAATTGCCACGTCCTTTTTGGTAGGATATTATTTGAGAATGAATCTTAGTGATGTTATTGATTTTGATATTCGCTCTTTGTGAGCTAGAGTTATGTTTGAGTTTATTACCATCGCCAAACAGTTGCAGAGAGGGGATGGATTTTGTTTATAGGTAATTAGATTTCATTTTTTGAAATATTAAAAATTTAATAGATTTGAAGTTTTTTTTTTTTTTTTTTTCAAATTTTACCGGTTGAGATTTACATTCAATACGACCATCATCATGGTAGTGTTACAGTCACTTTAAAATATATGTATTTCATTGATGTTTGGAGGTATTTAGAAAATAGAATCCCCTTTGTTTAATATTAATTTTCAACACGACCATCATTGAAAATTTGTGAAAAATTCACATTTTTTATTGTTTAAACATTGTAAACTCTGTAGGCCCGCTGCAGAGGATCGACTTGACAATTGATTATCATGCGAATGTTAAGAATTAGAGTTAATATGTTTATGATGAGTTTTATTTGAAAAGCCTTTGAACGCTTAATGTGAAATTAAAAAATATCTCGGTAGATTTCTAATTTGTTGTTTGTTGTTAATCAAAGTCGTGTCGACTCCAGTCTTTTCAAAAAAGATGATCGAACTTGAAAATTTAACTCGCGCAATATTTTCAAACCTTTGTATTTAAGAATCCTATGCGACGGTCGAAGCACATGTGAGTAATTAGTTTGAAAATAGGATTTTAAATTAACGAGCTTTTAACCCTGTGCAACATTCTCAGACATTGGCTTTTACAAGTTTAGCATATTTGTCAAAGCACATGCGGGGATTTTAAATTTCTTTTTAAATTAATATGCATGCTTGCCGATGCGCTCATGTGATGCACTTGCATGCATCTTGGTGCATTTTCATATCACGTTTGCATGCTTTTAATACAGTGCACATTATTTGATTGTACTTGCTTCTCGAGTTAGTGACTCGTTTCTTAATGTAGTAACACTCTTCTCAGGGCTTGTTGGTTGCTTCTCAAGACTGCTACATGCTCCTGGAGGTGTCAGCATGCTTCTCGATGTGTCACATTTAAGTTTAGAGAATTATTTTTTAATGCAAGAGGGAGAATTTTAAAATATTTAAAATTTAAACATTTGCGTAAGAGTTCATTATTTGAATGCACATTGTTTCACTTTAGAGTTTAAAAATAACACATTGTGTCCGCTTGTACGAGTGCTGCAAATCTGGTGGCATCGATTTCATTTTTGAATCTTATATGAGGTTGCCTTTTGCCTTCTGTCCACTTTTAGATTTGTGTGGTGGATTCGGTGTCATCAAGGCAAATTATGTTTCAGTTATTGTATATAGAAGAGATGTTTAGTTCATTTTGCCTTATTCTAGTTATCATTTAACATAGTTCAAAGGGGATGTTTATTCAATCGACATTATGAGATCGTTCTTTTGCTGATCAGTGAGCTATGAATCCCTTATTATCACTCGTAGCAGGTTAGTTCAATTGATACGATCCCCTTGTTCTCGCTTGTAGTCTAGTTATTGTGTGCACTACGAAATCCTTGGTCTTGCTCATAGGTTAATTGTAGTGTTCATTATAATAGGTCCCTTGTTGTTTCTTGTAGGAAGATTATTGTGCGTTGCAAGTTCTTTGTTTTTGCTCATAGGCGGATTATTGTGCATATTACAAGTACCTTGCTCATGCTCGTATGCAAGTTGTTTTGCCTACTACAAACCCCCTTGTTTCTTGCCCATAGGTGAGTTGATATGTTCGTTTGGGGCCCTTATATTCACTTGTAGTTAGATTGATGTATGCATAACAAGTTTCCTGCTCATGTCTATATGTAGACTGCTATGAGCATTGCAAGTCTTTGTTGTTATCTATAGACAAGTTGAAGTATTCATTAAAGGTATCGTGCTATTGCCTGTAGGCAGGCTATTGTATTCTTTACAAGTTTGCTGATATTATATGTAGGCAAGTCATTTTGCACATTACAAACCTTTGTTTACTATGAGTCCCCTGTTAACCCCCATAGGCAAACAATCATTGTGGGCTTCAAAAATTCGTGCCTTGGCTTCTCTGCGCCTTTTTTTAGTTAGGAGAGTTTTAACGAGTTTAGTTTCGGGGTAAATTTTTAGAAGACATTGGGTTTTAGATAAGACACTACTTAGAGATTTCACCCTCATTTTGCGAGGACTTTATAATATGATGTCTTGTTTTTCACATGCGCAAGTACTTATGGTTAATTAGTTCTCCTGATAACGAGAGAGTACTTTCGATTAATGTTAGTCATTATAATAGGCACTTAGTACCTAGCGTATAATAGAAGCATCTTTAAGAATTTTATATTTTGAATTTGTTGAATTTAAAAGTTGAAATTTATCATTGTATGCTTAAGGCGGGTGATGGGGAAATGATGACGGGTTTGGTCAAGATCTTGTGGTTTCACTGTCTCGAGCTATTGTGGTTCCTAGTCTACTTAATCAGAGGATGTAAATGATTCAACTTGACCA